TGCATCATTGATTTCCTTGGCGTCACTTGTGTTTCCCAGCTCCAGGTACCACCTCCCTTCTTGGGTTGTCATGTTAGCCGAGCCTGGCAGAGCCTGTGCTCTTACTGGCTCCCTGCTGCATTGCAAAGGGGCTTTTTGGTAAGCCTCTGCTGTGAGCTGCGGGGCAAGAAAGGGCCCTGTGGTGTGGCAGTGGGAGGGAGAGGTCCATAATCAAAGCTCAGACGTTGGGGAAGACAGAGCACATACAGAATTTAATTTAAGCTGCTCCACAGGTTTTTGGAGATCAGATAAAGGGCACATTGGTATCAGGAAGCAAGCGGGAATATAGTGCAGGTGGTAGGGCTTGGAGGGGGAACACATGCAGCTCCTCCCTTTTTGTCTCTGCGTACTGCAGTCAGCATGGAGAGAGGGATAATTGCGTGTCTGGGGTGAGGGAAAGCTGCTCTGAGCTCGAGTTCCACGCCAGCCTTTCTGGCTCTTGTCCACTTCAGGGCCAGCATTATCAAACCTATGAATTGGCCAAAAACACTGAGCCAGAGAAGGAGGAGGGGGAGGAGTTCCAAGCAGCTCTCGCTGTGCACCCTGTTTCCGACGTGACCCTGATGTACCGGCTGCACAAGCACTTTAGCAGGATCCAGCTGGACAGAGCCTACCAGGAGATCCAGGACCTCCAGGTATGTGGTGAGGGGTGTCTGCACAAACTCCTCCGCTGAGCAGGTTTCGTTTTCTATCAACATGGTGGAGGAAGGTTACTAGATTCATAGAACCTTTTAGGCTGGGAAAGACCTCTAAGGTCATCAAGTCCAACCGTCAACCCATACCTACCATGACCATGAAAACGTGTCCCCAGGTGCCACATTTACAAGGTTTCTGAACACCTGCCGGGGTGGGGACTCCACCCCTGCCCTGGGCAGCCCATGCCAGTGCCTCACCACTCTCAGTATCACTTCTGTTTGTGGGCGACCGTCAGCCAGATCCAGGGGGTGGTCCTGTGTCTCAGAGGTTGTGCTTCCTATGCTGCATTATCCAAAACCGCTGGGGTAGTGCTGCTGGGGTGAAGTTGCAGGTGGTGAGACTGGCCCAGGTAAGAGATGGGCTGGACCTCCCCGAGGCAGTGGCGGGGATCAGTTTGCCTTCTTTCTTGGCACAGATGCAGATCAGGAACCTGACATTGCTGACTCCCGCCGGCGAGGCAGGCTTGACATGGCCTGTGGGCATTAATGCCCCATTTCTTCCAAAGTCCCGTTTTGAGGTGATCAGCTGGGACTACTTCACTGAGCAGCACCTCTTCTCCTGTCCTGACGGCTCCCCCAAGTGTGAGCTCTCTGGAGCCAGCAAAGCAGATGTCAGTGAAATCATCGAGTCTGCGCTTGAGCAACTCAATGGTCGTTACCAACCTCTGCTCCGCTTCAGCAAGCGGCAGCTGCTGAACGGCTAACGGCGCCTCGGCCCCACGGGGG